TCTGGTTGCTGTTGTAATAGGAGGTACATCTTGCTTTCTGGTTCCCTATACAACTCTTTTGAGTGTGTCTTGATCAATATATATGCACCAAATGATATCTGTGCTAGATCATCTCTTTGGGCTGATATCCTCAAGCTCAAAGACCATTTCCCTGCTCCTTGGTGCATGGGTGGGGACTTTAATGAAATAAGGCATATAGAAGAAAGGGTAGGCTGCTCCAGGAGGGATAGAGGGATGCATCATTTTAATGAGTTCATTGGAAAATGTGAGCTCAATGACTTACCTCTGCATGGAAGAAAATACACTTGGTGTAATGCTCAGGAATCTGAAAAATGGAGTCGTATAGATAGAATTTTGCTTGGACCTGAGTGGCTGATTAATTTCAGAATGAAACTATGGGGACTGCCTAGATTAATTTCAGACCACTGTCCACTATTGATGATGGAAGATGAAAGAGATTGGGGACCCAAACCTTTCAGGTTTCTAAATGCCTGGACTCTTCATCCAAGCTTTTCTAAACTTTTTGTTGCTATTTGGAGCAGCTCTTTGGTCACTGGATGGGCTGGCTACATACTTGTTCAAAAATTAAAGCATCTGAAACTAGCACTGAAGAAATGGAATGTTGAGGTATTTGGTGATGTCTCATATGAACTTAAAGTTTCTGAAGAGGAACTTCATGCAATTGATATTTTGGCAGAAGAAAGACCTCTGACTCAAGCTGAATTGGCAAGAAGAAGAGTGGTCAGAGGTGAGATGTGGAAGCTTCATAGGATGGTGGAGTGGATTTGGCACCAAAAATCCAGATTGAACTGGACTCTCAATGAGGATAAGAATACTAGGTTTTTCCATGTTTTTGCCAATGCTAGACAGAGCAGGAACATGATTAACTCTATCGAAGTTAATGGAGTATCTCATGAGGATCCTCACAGGGTTAAGCTTGAGGTCAATCAACACTTCAAGAAACAGCTTGCAGAGGATTGGGTTACAAGACCTGTCTTGGAAGGGGTTTTCAAGACCATTGGGTCAGACTATGTATTTCAACACCTTGTCTCAGAGTTCAGTGAAGCTGAGGTTTTGGCTGTAATTAAGGATTGCAATAGCAACAAAGCTCCAGGCCCTGATGGTGTTAACTTGTTGTGTTATCAGAAATTTTGAAAGGTCATGAAGCCTGAGATTATGCAATTTTTTGTGGATTTTCATTCAAATAGAAAACTGACCTATGGCATCAACAACACTTTTATTAGTCTGATTCCCAAAGTGGACAATCCCACTGGCCTGTCTGAATACAGACCCATCAGCCTTGTAAGCTCCCTTTACAAAATTCTAGCTAAAGTACTAACACATAGATTGAAGCCAGTTCTTCCCTCCATCATTGGTGAAACACAAACTGCATTCATAGGTGGGAGGAACATCCTAGATAAGGTTTTTATTGCCAATGAAGTAGTGGATGGATGGAAAAAGTCCAAGAAGCCCGGTCTAATTTTAAAGCTAGACTTCAAAAAAGCTTTTGATTCTGTGAACTGGGAATTTTTATTTTCTCTTCTGTCCAATTTTGGGTTTGGGAACAAATGGATTTCCTGGATAAAAACTTGTATTACCTCAGTTAGGATCTCCATTCTTGTGAACGGTTCACCAACTACTGAATTCTCACCACAAAGAGGTCTTAGACAGGGCGACCCGCTCTCACCTTTTCTGTTCAATATTGTATCTGAAGGTCTTAACATGCTTTTGAACATAGCAACTAATCTTGGCATACTTAGATGAGTGCTTGTTGGGTCAAAGGATGTTCTTTTGTCTCATCTGCAATTTACGGATGACTCAGTTATTTTCTCTGAAGTAGATTGGGATCAGATGGTGCTTATTAAAAGAGTTCTAAGAGCTTTGAAGTTTTATCTGGTCTGCGAATAAATTATCATAAAAGTGTGGTATGTGGTGTTAGTGTGGATGATTCACTCTTGCTCTCCTTTGCAAAGCTCCTCAACTGTCAAGTTCACAGCCTACCTCTGAAATTTCTGGGTCTACCTCTTGGAGCCAACCCCGGGAGAAAATCTACATGGAACCTGTGCTTGACAAATTCAGATCCAAACTCTCGGGGTGGAAGCGAAAACTGCTGTCTTTTGCAGGCAGGTTAACACTAATCAAGTCCACCTTATCTAGTTTACCAGTTTATTTTCTCTCTTTATTTAAGATGCTAGAAGGTGTGGCCAAAGAAATTGAGAGGATTCAATTAGCTTTTTTATGGGGTGGTAACGACCTGAAAAGGAAAGTCCACTTAGTAAAATGGAGGGAGGCTGCAAAAAGCATTAATCAAGGGGGCTTGGGCATTAGAAGAATAAGAGATGTAAATGCATGTCTATTGTTTAAATGGTGGTGGAAATTTGGAACTCAAATTAATTCTCTTTGGACGAGGGCTATATGTAGCAAATACAAGATAGATGAGGCTTGTTGGAATCCACCGGTAAGTTTCTCCTACAAACATTCTAGAGTGTGGAAAGACATCTTATCTATTGGGAACCATTGCAGTAATATTTTCAATTTTTATGCGGATAATTGTCAAATTAAAGTGGGGGATGGAAACAGAATCAAGTTTTGGCATGACAAATGGTGTGGCAACACTTGCCTTAAGAATGATTTTCCCCTCATTTTCAATCTCTCAACTGATAAAGATGGTTCTCTTCATCAATACTTTGATAGGAAACCCAGCCCAAATACTTGGAATTTACCCATTAGAAGAATGATGTTTTCTTGGGAATTGGAGGAAGAAACTAGTTTGATTGAAGCCCTATTGTCAACCCCTTCTCTGTCTCCACACAAAGCTGACTGTTTTTTCTGGGCTTGTGCTACTGCAAACACTGGTGAGTTTTCTGTTTCCTCAATTTACTCTTTCAGTAATTCCACCCTTGGTCCTTATCTTCCAATTTGTAATCATATCTGGAATAGAGCTGTCCCTCCTAAGGTTTCATTCTTCTGTTGGTTGGCTTGGAAGAACAAAATTAAGTCAGCAGAATTTATGCTCAGAATTGGTATTTTAGACCCATCTGTTTCCATCAGTTGCACCTTCTGTGGCTTCGAATCTGAATCAGCCACACATATCTTGCTTCACTGCCCCTTTTCATGGCAGATCTGGTCTTCAATTATTCATGAATGGGGGCTTTCTTGGTGCATTCAAGATTCAGTTGATGGCCTTCTCCAATGGTGGATGATAGTAAACTTCAATCACTTTGATAGATTAATTTGGAGAGCTATCCCGCTCATTGTTCTTTGGTCGCTGTGGAAGTGTAGGAACGAATGTATTTTCGAAGAGGCTCAACCAAATATTTCAGGTTTGAGTGAAAGTATCAAAGTCAGAGCTGCACTATGGCTGAAAGCAACCATCAAGGACCTTCCCTTCTCAGTTGATGATTTAGCCTTCAACTGTAGGCAAATCAGAGCTGGGAATTCAAATCTTTAGATGGGCTGGCTTTGCCAAAGCTTCTTTGGGCCATGTTTTGCCAGAGCTTCTTTTCTGCTGGGTTGGAGTTTGATCTGCAGGTTATCAGTTGGTTTTGTTTATCTACTGGTGTTAATCTGGTTTATCAGTTGGGGTTGCTGATCTGGTCTTTCTGTTTTGGTATAATGCTCTGCTAGGCTTGTATATGAGCTGTTGGGGTTGTTGATCTGGTTGGTTTGGTTCATCAGCTGGTGATTGCTTCTGTTAGTCAGTTTCTCTGCCTTGTTCCTCTGTTCAGCATTATCAGTTGGCCAAATTTATTGTTTCTTTGCTTGGCTTTGTTTAGCATTATCAGTGGTTTTGTCCATCTCAGTGCAGTTCTGTGGTGCTATAGTGTAGTGATTTTTTGCAGCTTTGATCTCAACTCTGGTGCTGTTATGTTGCTTGGGTCCATTTGGCTGAGTTGCTGTCTCTTGGGTCCAGCAGCTGAGTGATGGTCTGAGTGGAGGTCTACTTGTTAAGCTGGTTCTGAGCCAAAAGAGTGTATGCTAAAATTTTAACACTCTGAAGGATTGAATTAGGTTCTGTCTGCTACAGTGTGAGAATTCTGCTATAAAATGCTCTTTCCACTGTGTGAGAATGCCTCTGTTTTGGCTGATTTTTGCTGCAGTGTTATAACCTCTGGGAGTTTTTGGTTATGCTTGTTGTTTTTTCCTCTCCTTTTCTCTTTGTTGGTTTCTCACCAACTGGCGCTTGGGGCTTTTCAGGCCCAAGCTCCTCTTTATTGATGTAAACTTCATTCCTTGAATGTTTTTTTCAATAAAAATTTTCTTTGCCGATCAAAAAAAAATATAATAGATGGTTGTATTTGTTGTTAACAAATATTTTTAAATGGTTATCATGTAATGGATGATTATTAGTCTTTTAATGTATAATTAATATGTTTAATATATAAAATATTTTTGATTTTAGATTTTTTGATTTAATGGATTGATTTAATAATCACATCAAAGTTGTTGCCATATTTGATTTTTAAAAAATAAAAATTAATTTAACGAAACTAAATATCAAAAACAATTATGTAAAAAATTATTTCTACCCTCCCAAAAGATAAAATTATATAAAAATGATGTGTTTTTCATTTTTTTTTTCACCAATTTAATTTTTACTTTTTTAGAATTTTTTTTTGAAAATAGATTCTGAAAACCAAACCAAACCAAATAGAACTTTATAACAACAAAAGTTCCAACATTATTCAGTAAAAAAAATAACATTACATTTCAAACACATATAAGTTAACCAATACAAAATAAATTGTATGATGACTTTACCCTTCAAATAGAACAACAATATCTTTAATTATCTTTATTTGGAACAAGATTCAAAATTTAAGGTCAAATGTATCACAATTGAAAAGTCAATGATCAAAGTAATATAAGTTTCAAACTATAGGGGCTGTTAGTATAATTCACCCTAACTATAATAATATCGAGTTCCAAAGGTTTTGTAACGAGTCAAAGAAAAATTAATGTAATTATTTCAAAAATATGTAACTAACAACTTCTTGAAAAAGAATAGGAAGAAACAGAAAAGAAGGGATCGAGCTAGCAACACCGTGGTTTTGAGAGGATTCATAGGTTTAGCCAGAAGAATGGGGCAAAAAAGGATAGGTTCAAGCAAGGCAGCTCACAAAGGAGTTGTGATTAGAGCAGCACAACAAATTTGGGACTTAAAGACGAAACAAATTTATCTCAAAATGTACACATTTCGTCATCCAAACTAATTACGACGAAAAATGTCCGTCACCCATTTTGTCGCCAAAACGTCCTTGGAGACAAAAAAAATAAATTCGTCATTGAAAATGATAAATTTGTGAAGATTTTTTTTGTCTCCAATACACATTGCTGGGAACATACTTGTACGTAATTAGCGATGAAACATTTTGTCATTAAAGGAAGAAATTAGAGATAACTATTTTATCATAAATATAAGAAATAGAGACGAAATAATTTTGTTGTGTTTAATGTGAATGAAGAAAAAAAAATTCTCAAAGAAGCTACCAATAGAGACAAACAAATTCATCATTAAAATTGATGAAATAATGTCAAAAAAATTAGTCGCACATTGAGGGTAATAGTGACAAAATGTGAATATTTTTTGTCATGACAAATTTATTTCACGACGAAATAAAGAATGGATGACAAAATTAATCATCCACCTAAGCCAAATAAGGGACATAAAACCACATTATTTAGCAATGAACAATTGTGTCACTAATTTCATAATTTTGTTTCCACATTATATAGCTATTCTATCAAAAACATGAATTTTAGTTTAGTAAATATAACCCTACTCATTTTGAAACCTGTTTGATATAAAAATTCTATCACAACTTAACTTAAATCTTCTTATAAATCAACACATTTACAAATTAACAAAATGAAAATATCCATCCATTACAATAAGTTTATCATCATATAATAAAATAATGCAATATCCACAAAATATTCAAAAGTTATAACTAATGCAATTTCACAAAACATCCAACAGTTTTAATTAGTGCAATTCCACAAAACATCCAACAATAACTAGTGCAACTCTACAATATGTGTATCTTTATCAAACAAAAATAAACATTCAAACAAATTAGATCATTGTTGCACGTCAAAAACGCCACCCCAATCCAATCTGCAAAAAAAATAAATTAAAGACTTTAGTAACTAAT